GCGGTGTGGCCTGGACGAGCGCTCGCTGATATGCACTAGTGCACTGGTGCACTAGTGCACCAGTGCACTGGTGCACTGGTACACTGGTGCGCTGGTGCACTGATGCACTGGTGCACTGATGCACTGGTGCACTGATGCACTGGTGCACTGGTGCACGGGTGCACTGATACACTGGTGCGCTTGTACACTGATGCACTGGTGCACTGATGCACTGGTGCACTGGTGCACTGGTGCACTGGTGCACTGGTGCACTGGTGCACTGATGCACTGGTGCACTGGTGCACTGGTGCACTGGTGCACTAAAATAAAACTTCGAGTGTTGACCTGCAGGTGTGAATAACCTGGTAAAAAATAAGATATATTGAAAAAACATGAATAATTCAAATTTGCTATTCAAAGTGATTGAATACAGAATTCTCTCGACAGCAAGTGAATTCAACTTCAAATGCAGTAATTTCGTTTCTCAATCTAAAGTTATGTAAAGACCGTACATATATACCATCAATTTTTTCTGGTTTAATACTGTTCAACATATAAAAAATTGTAACTGAAACATATTTATAACCTGTCCTGTCATGGGCATTCAAATTTCATAGATAAAATCATGCGCAGTGAAAAGCCACACACAAAGCCAAAAACAAAAAAAAAAAATACAAATAAAATAAATGAATGAAATGAATAACACAAGTGAACCGAAATTAGAAAATTAATTTTTTTATTTAGAAAAATGGACAAGTTATTACATGTGAGTGGTAACATGGCGCTTTGTCGTGAAAAACATGCGCAAGGCATTCGATGAAGGTGGCATGCGGTGGCAGTGCAACAGAGGCATGCGGTGGCAGCGCAACAGTGGCATGCGGTGGCAGTGCAACAGAGGCATGCGGTGGCAGTGCAACAGAGGCATGCGGTGGCAGTGCAACAGAGGCATGCGGTGGCAGTGAAACAGNCACATGAAGGTTACCGTGTTATTTATATATACGGTTATATACCACATGAAGGTTACCGTCTTATTTATATATACGGTTATATACCACATGAAGGTTACCGTGTTATTTATATATACGGTTATACACCACATGAAGGTTACCGTGTTATTTATATATACGGTTAAACTTGCAGAGTAATGGCTCTTATCACATTGTGCTGTGGTGTGAGGTTAACCGTCCTATTCCTAGCTAACGGGAGAACGGTTATTTTACTGAGTGATGGACCTATACACTAAATGAGCAAGGTTAACCGTCCTCTTTTACGTAATTTAACTTCTACTTAACTCAACTACTTAACTTAACTACTTAACTGCTTAACAACACTACTTATCTTAACTACGTAACAAAACTACTTAACTTAACTTAACTTCCCCCAATTTAGCAAAGTGGGCACAGGGTGCACACTCAAAACAATAAATTGGTCATTATGTCCAAAAAATGACATTTCCTGCACTCAACACCGACACGCTTCCTTGTCCAGCAAAACTGGGTCAGAATAACCAGCACCAGGCACAAAATAATAACTATTTGCATAAAGTCTCACTTATATCTCTGAGTAGAACAATAAGCACTTCACAATATAAGCGTTACAAGTGCGAGGCCGTACACTCAGAAAACTAGTTGTGTTGTCGTGAACCCAATGGCCAAACTATCCGTTCATTAAACTGGTGCAACCAATTAATAGCCAATACTGAGCACAAACTGAGTGGCAGTCTTCGAGCTCGCGGTGATTAGAATGTAACGATGAGGCTCTCATTTGTAAAAAAAATTGAAAAATTAAATCGGTTTTATTAGATATCCTGAGAGATACAATTCATCAGATATATTCCTTTAAATTAGTAGTCAATATGTCTATATTTTAAATATGTAGTCAATATATGTAGTCATGAAATCATTACATATTGCTAAACAGTGAAACGAGACATGGAAAAATAATTTATAACTCGATGTGCAGCAATCGAATGTTTCTCTTCAAAAATATCAGGAAAATTTCATGTTAGCCGTGAAAAAATAAGTTCTTACCGCTACAGATATCCACAATACCGACCAAGCAATGACCTTATAACCTAATGACCTTATGATGAGTTCGGGACTTCTTAGTCCCAGGTCACGCTGATGCGCCGCCTTCGTCGTCCTCCGTCTCCGAGTCGTCGTCGGATGTAACGTTGGACGTGTTCCGTATATTTGCCCTCCTTTTGGCCAGCTGATGCAAGATGCTGTTGCTTGTCACTTGCTGATGGTAGTTTCCCATCTGGGATTGTTGAATAGATATCAATGGATATCCTGGCAGGAAATCTTCCATGAAAATGCGCGGCTATCCCTTAAAAAATATTCATACCAATTTTATTTCAGTTTACAGAACGTATTCTCAAAAAATATGAATGGGTCATATTGTACAAATTTTGACACAAGTTCTTCACCCTCAGCACCAGCAGGGAGCGGACTTAGCACTGAATGGCATAAAGTGCATCGCTATTTGCGCAAAGTGTCACTTTCGTTTTTCTGAGTGTACAGAAATTTCCCCAAGCTCTTCATAATAAAAGAAATAATTTTCTGTAATGCTGAGAACTTGGAAGTGAAACTGATCTAGGACAAGTCAAATGGAGGGGATATCAAATTATAGCTTAAATTATAAAATAATTTCTAAAAATACTAATAATAGCAATAATTAATGATAATAATAATCATCATAGGTTCCCTTAGGGCTTTAATATTGAGAGTTCAATAATACACTGTAGAAACATTATGTGTTGTTTCCAGTTGTTCCCACAGTGAGTGTAAACAAAATGCCTTTACACTGAAGAAGTCGTTTTCTACAATAAAACGTTGAAAAGATTTTTTTTCAATAATTCAGAAAATGTGTTATTTTTTAGTTTTTTAGTTGCTTGAGTGACATAATTGGGCCGTGGCTAGAAGGTATGTCGGATTTACAGGGAATGTGGTGGGAAATACAGAGCTGTGTTTACTGTGTTGCACGCGGGCTATACATACACAGGGTGTGTGTGACTATACATATTCTGGGTACAAATGACCTAGAGTTATGCTGTGTAATGGAGCTTGTTTTGCTCTAGAGCTCTGCTAGAATTGCTGCGTGCTGTGCACACAGAGAAATTAGAGAGACATTGTCCTAATAGCGATGCACTTCTTGCCCTTGTGTGGGTCAACCTGACCCAGTTTGGCCCGGTAAAAGGGTGTAGCTGTGATACGGCCGCTCTCTGCCAGCGGAGAGGGTAAAAAATATAACTCAGTACTCACTGCAGTGAGTGACAGAGAGCGCATTTTCTCGTCGACGAAAACTTGAGGTCACGGACAGACGGACGGACAGACGGACATGGCGAGCACAATAGTGCAAGTGCATTTTTTCCATAAATGAGAAAATGCGCTAAAAAGTGAGTCATTATTTGGACAACTTGACACACTACCTTTTCCGAGTGTGGAACGGCTATGACGGCACTGCAATTGGGGCAGCACTTTAAGACTTAATATTGTTGAATAAATTAGATGAATGTTTTGATGTTGTTGCTGCTTTTTCGTGGAATTGGAATCCCAACATCGGAGTTTTCTCTCTTGTTGGGAAATGGTTCTGATGAAATATTAATTTTATGACTTCCGGGATCGGGATTGATATTTTTACACACAATGAAGTTTTGTGTGCAAAAGTTGTTATGAAGGAATAAAAGATAAAAGTTTCCTGTCCTTGAAATTGCAGGTGCCGACTCATAAGTTTTTTTTCCGATCTCTTAGAAATTGTACAATTATCTTTTTTATTTGCCGAGATCTGCAAACTATCAGTATTATTATCTAACACAAATAAACCAAATAGATATAGTAAAATTAATTAATGTAAAATTTAGTTTAGTCCCTGAAAATACCCATCATAATTTTCTATCCAACTAACGAAACATATCGGCTTGAACTAATTTCATTAATTAATTTCATTTTTTAAATAATATTGTGATGGACAGACAGGTTTCACAAATATTAAATGAAAAATATTTGCATAAATATTTATTTATGTCTCGAATGATTCAAAATGTAGTTTCTGACCTTTCCAAAAGTTGATGCACATTTTTTGATTGCCAGATGACAGGCCGGTATTAGCACCCGTACACTAAAAAAATTTGTCAAAAAATTGCACATTTTCTTACTCACATAACGATCGAAGAAATACCTCAATTTACCGCGACAAACTGGGTCTGGTTGACCCACACAATGGTAATCAGTGCATAGTTATTTAGATACGGTAATACTTTACTTACTATTTCTATATTACTTATTATTTCTGAGAGCACTAAGGGAAATAAGTGAAACATTATTCAGATCACCAGGACTACAACCTGGCTGTTATACAACATAAAGTTTCTTTCTTTACATTCACTATTTTCGTATTCATGTTCATCGCCCTTGTGTTCGGCACCTAAAATTACAACCTAAGTTTACTACCGACCACGAACAAAGGATTGCAGTGTTTTTACACGCATTAAAATTATTGGGTCACTTGGTTCTTATAGCAACACACTTTCGGACAAACAGCACGAGCAGAGAGCGCACGTAGCACTGATACGTCTTTTTACCGAGGCAAACTGCATCAGGATGACCCACACAAGCGAAAAAAATTGCATCGCTATTTGGGCAAAGTTTCACATTTCTTTGAGTGCAGGATTGATATAAAACCATGAAATACCATGACGGTATTTAACTGCGTAATGTTATGACGGTATTTTACTGTGTAATANTGTTCAACTGTGTAATACCATGACGGTATTTAACTGCATAATACAATGACGGTATTTAACTTCCTAATATCATGATGGTATTTAACTGCATAATGTCATGATGGTATTCAACTGTGTAATACCATGACGGTATTTAACTGTGTAATACCATGATGGTATTCAACTGTGTAATACCATGACGGTATTTAACGTACAAAATACCGTCTCAGATCGCGGATGATTGCAAGTCTATACCTCCTGGTAATGATAGTATAGACCGTCCAGCCCTGGGGTCTGAATGATAAGTGATGGACTGCCACTCGCAAGACCACACAGCGACGCGGCCCTGAAACTGCCGGGTGACGGGGACTTCACTAGCAAGACCACAGGCCTAGCACAGCAAGTTGAAGCACGGCAAGTCCCCAGCACTGCAAGTCCCCAGCACGGCAAGTTGAAGTATGGCAATTCCCCAGCAAGGCAAGTCCCCAGCAAGGCAAGTCCCCCGCACGGCAAGTCCCCAGCACGGCAAGTCCCCAGCACTGCAAGTCCCAGCACTGCAAGTCTCCAGCACTGCAAGTCCCAGCACGGCAAGTCCCCATCAATTCCCCAGCACGGCAAGCCCCCATCAAGTCCCCAGCACTGCAAGTCCCCATTAAGTCCCCAGCACAGAAAGTCCCCAGCATTGCAAGTCCCCATTAAGTCCCCAGCACTGCAAACAAGTCCCCAGCACTGCAAGTCCCCAGCACTGCAAGTCCCCATCAAGTCCCCAGCACTGCAAGTCCCCATCAAGTCCCCAGCATGGCAAGTCCCCATCAAGTCCCCAGCACTGCAAGTCCCCATCAAGTCCCCAGCACTGCAAGTCCCCAGCACTTCAAGTCCTCATTAAGTCCCCAGCACTGCAAGTCCCCATCAAATCCCCAGCATGGCAAGTCCCCATCAAGTCCCCAGCATGGCAAGTCCCCATCAAGTCCCCAGCACTGCAAGTCCCCAGCACTGCAAGTCCCCATCAAGTCCCCAGCACTGCAAGTCCCCAGCCAGTCCCCCGGCAGTACGGCCACGCTGCAGTGCGGCGGTCGCGTGTCGTCAGCGCTGCAAGGATCGCACAATTTGCGGTGCGCACCCGTCTATTGGGAGTCGTTGACCGCGCACTCACAAAAATGAGGGAGACTTTGTCTCAATAGCGCCGGAGACACTCAGAGAAATGAGTGAGACTTTGTCTAAATAATGATGCACTTCTTGTCATAGTGTGAAATATTCAGACTCGATTTGTTTCGGCAAAAGATCGAATCAATGCTATTTCCGCTCATTGTTATTGCTGTGGGTAATTAAGTGTGTCACTATTTAAACAATCTGACCCAATTATTTTTTTGAGTGCGAGGAGCCAATATAGGGCAGCGGTGGCAGGTTTTCCATGCTGCGCCTAGCAACAGTTTGCTCCAACATTTTACTAATTTTTTTTATCAAAGCTCAGTACTTTTAGTAATAAATATTTACCATGTATCAAACTCTTAATGCTACATTAGGCGAGTTGGAACATTAATACAACTGCATTGTGTGAATATAGTTATATTTTTATACTTAAATTTTTACGTCGAGACTCTGACAAATTTATCTACGATAAGCTCGCTTATATAACGCATTTAGCAGCTGAATTGTAAATATAAACTAGATTTTTATCAAAAAATTGACTCTAATTTAGAAAGTTACTTCGCTAGTCAGCACGGCTTTTATGCGAAGAAGAGAACGTAATTTCGATACCATGGCGCTTCTGAAATTTAAGTGAAAGGAAAAAATTTGTTAATTATTTTAACGATATAATTAGTTTATAGAAAATCAATGGTAAAAAAAATCTGAGGTCAGTTCATATACTGAAATTATTTGAAATAACAGATTAAATTGGGCGGGGATTGAGAAAAGTTTTAGATCTGTTCAAATGACCCAACATTAATTATAAATTATTTTTACTAGAGTTTTACAGGAAACTTCATGAATATACTACATTTAGTGTCTTTTGTTAAATAAACTTCATACTGAACCATTACAATGCAATAAAAATGTAAAAAAAAATCACCAGCACTGATTACTGAATCAATGAATCCAGAGAGAAACATCAGTTGTGAATGATAAACAAATGAAAAACCTCAATTCACGAGCTAAAAACTACAAATTGGATTGTTTGTTGTTTACTGCACGTGCAGTAAACAACGTTAGTAAAACAACAACACGTGTTGTTTACTGCACGTGCAGTAAACATGTTTTACATTCATATTTTTACTATATACCTAGTTTCTATTTCTAATATTTAAAATAATAAATATAAGACATGTAATAGCTTCTCAGTAACGCAGCTATGCAGAGATCGGCAATATATATAAGCCGACGCTCATTGCCTGTCTCGCGGCAACAAACCTAATCCTTTTACGCGGCGGTGAAAGTATAGGAGAAGGAAAAAACTAGAGTTCTGGGTTCACAGTATGCCTAGAGCAAGCGTGTGTCTAGACACAGGCTGCATCTTCACCTAGTGTGCCTAGATGCCTAGACACAGGTAGCACCCTCATCTAGATCGTGTGCTAGACACAGGCCACACCCTCATCTAGATCATGTGCCTAGACACAGGCTACACCCTCATCTAGACCGTGTGCCTAGACACAGGCTACACCCTCATCTAGATCGTGTGTCTAGACACATGCAGACTTTTTCAATTTCGATTCTACACTCCTTTTTTGGGAAGCTTACTCTAGAAGTCACATTTTGCTTTGACACATAAAAATACTATTTTCATTTCATTCAGTAGTTAGGAATAGTATTAAGAAAAGTGAACTTATGGAAATTTCGTGGTGGCAAAGGCTCAGCGTTGCCTGTGTACCATATTTGGCACAGAAAGATCAAATTATAACCTGAAAGTTGCTACGTTGGTAGGAATAGCATGGAACAAAGTAAACTGACTAAACGCGTGACGTGGCAAAGGCTATGCGTTTTATGAAGCCATATTGGCACAGAAGGATCAAATTATAACTCGAAATTTGCTAAGCTGGTAGGAATAGCATTGATAAAAGGAACTGAATGAACGCATGACGTTGCACAGGCTAGCCACATGTAGCACAAAAAGATCCATGCCTGAACCAACTGACGGTAACGATAGTTACCAGCCCTACACGTAGGTATAGCATTGGAAACGGTCAATCTATCCGTAGCTAGACAAAACTTTGACCATTCGACTACTGATCATTGTAAGGTAGGAGTTATTGATTAGGTAGTAATAGCATTGAGGAAAGTGAATTTGCTGAACTTTAGAGGTGACAGAGGCTGGGCGTTGCCCGGGTGCCATATTTAGTTCAGAAAGATTAAATTATCGCTTAAAAGCTGTTGAATAGGTAGGAATAGCATTGGATAAAGTGAACTTGTTGAATTTTAGACGCGACAGAGACTGAGCGCTTCATGAGTGCCACAATGAAGTAAGACTATAAGTTACTAATTGGTATGAATAGCGTTGAGTAAAGTTAACTTATTGAAGTTAGAGGTGGCGCAGGCGAAGCGCTGCCACATTTAGCTAAAAAAATAATAAATTATCACTTGAAAATTGTTTATTAGGTAGGAATAGTATTGAGCAAAGTGAACAAAAAGGTGGCGGAGGCTGAGCGCCGCCACATTTAGCTCGGCCGGGACGCTGTGGCAGCAAACAAGTGCAGCTCTCAAGACGCTCACGTCACTTAAGACGTCTACTTGAGACGGAAATTTCTAGCGGTGCCACTTGAGTGCCACTGACTGCCCTGCCACTGACTGCCCTGCCACTGACTGCCCTGCCACTGACTGCCCTGCCACTGACTGCCCTGCCACTGACTGCCCTGCCACTGANCTGTCTACTGACCTCTCTGTCTACTGACCTCTCTGTCTACTGACCTCTCTGTCTACTGACCTCTCTGTCTACTGACCTCTCTGTCTACTGACCTCTCTGTCTACTGGCCTCTATGTTTACTGACCCCTCTGTCTACTGACCCCTCTTTCTACTAACCCATCTGTCTACTGACCTCTCTGTCTACTGACCTCTCTGTCTACTGACCTCTCTGTCTACTGACCCCTCTTTCTACTAACCCATCTGTCTACTGGCCTCTATGTTCACTGACCCTTCTGTCCACTGACCCCTCTTTCTACTAACCCATCTGTCTACTGACCTCTCTGTCTACTGACCTCTCTGTCTACTGATCTTTCTGTCTACTGACCTCTCTATCTCTCTCTGTCTACTGACCCCTCTGTCTACTGACCCCTCTGTCTACTGACCCCTCTGTCTACTGACCCCTCTATCTACTGACCCCTCTGTCTACTGTACCCTCTGTCTTCTGACCTCTCTGTCTAATGACCCCTCTGTTTACTGCCCTCTCTCTACTGACCCCTCTGTCTACTGACCCCTCTTTCTACTAACCCATCTGTCTACTGACCTCTCTGTCTACTGACCTCTCTGTCTACTGACCTCTCTGTCTACTGACCCCTCTTTCTACTAACCCATCTGTCTACTGGCCTCTATGTTCACTGACCCTTCTGTCCACTGACCCCTCTTTCTACTAACCCATCTGTCTACTGACCTCTCTGTCTACTGACCTCTCTGTCTACTGATCTTTCTGTCTACTGACCTCTCTATCTCTCTCTGTCTACTGACCCCTCTGTCTACTGACCCCTCTGTCTACTGACCCCTCTGTCTACTGACCCCTCTATCTACTGACCCCTCTGTCTACTGTACCCTCTGTCTTCTGACCTCTCTGTCTAATGACCCCTCTGTTTACTGACCCCTCTCTACTGACCCCTCTGTCTACTGACCCCTATTTCTACTAACCCATCTGTCTACTGACCTCTCTGTCTACTGATCCCTCTGTCTACCAACCCCTCTGTCTACTGAGTCTAACCGGTTAAAAATAATTTTTTTCTGCCATTCGTACCGGCATTAAATGTATAAGTCATTAAAGCATTGTCATATACATACTCTGTTCTTTATTTTGAAGAACTCTACGTCACACCCGCAGGAATAATTACAATCTATACACTATCTCACATCTGAGCTCTATATTCAACCAAAGCTTCATCTCAAATTTTATCACTATCTTTTTTTCATCTCCAGCTTTAATATCATCTCTATATTTAATCTCATTTCTTTACATAATATTATCTCTATATTCAATCTTATCTCTATCTTCAATCTTAACTTTATCTTCAATCTTATCTCTATCTTCAATCTTATCTCTATCTTCAATCTTAACTTTATCTTCAATCTTATCTCTAAACCTCTATCAAAGTTCCCACTGATTGGAGAGCTGCACGAGTTGCTCGTCTTTGAGCTCGCTGGCTTCAAAGACTCCTGCAGCGTCCTGATGCTACAGAAAGACTCCTACAGGATTAGTGGAGCGTGTCAAGAAATTGAGAGACTGCGATGGCTTTTAAAAAATCTTCTTTACACTCAGAAAAATTATCCAGACTTTCCTGACATATCCAAGTGTCCAAATAGTGACTCACTTTCTCTTCCAGTACACGAGGAGAGAACGGGCTCCTGTACTGGTTCAAACTGGGCCAGAATGATCTAAAGGAGATAGGGATAAAAAGTGCATCGATATTCGGACAAAGCCTCACTCATATTAATAAGTGTGTCCTGTCTTAATTGCCCTGCTTGCGTAATCAGACATTCGAGGGACAAGGCTTAGACGGAAAAAAATTATTTTTTATAACACACAAATTATTCATATATTGGGATTCCTTCAACTTGACTACGAAAAAAGTTCCATGTGGTAGACAATCGTCTAATTGGTCGCCTTCAGCATTGCGCCAATGATTTTCAATAGGGTATCCTCCCAAAACGGCAGCAATAATTCAGGCATTGGAAAACCATGAGCTTTTTTAAGG